TTTTCCCCCAAATTAACTATTTGCAGGATTTGCTTGGTTAAGGGTAAGGTGGCGTCAACTACCGCTCAGGCTAAATCACAATTTCTTCACACGCTTTCTTTCAATTTCTGCTCTTTGGTAATACCTGCGGTGTCAACTAATTGAAAGTCAATTTTTTTCCAATTTCACTGATTAATTACTGGCTCTTGGGTAGTGCCGGCAACAGGAGTAGCCAGCGAGCGATTTTCTTGCAATAGATAATTCATGAGGGTAGATTTGCCGGAATTAGGTGGTCCAAAAATAAGTAATTTTAGCTCTTTTTCTTTTTGGTCAAACTTTTCGCCAGAAGAGTGCGGCAAAAGGGCGCTTATTTGTTTTATTAATCCGTCAAGGTTAGTTCCTTTTCCAGCCGAAATAGTTAAAAAATATTGTAGTCGGAGAGTTTGGTAAGAATAAAAATCTTCTTCTGAGTTTACTAAATCTATTTTATTAAATATTAAAATTTGCGGGGTCTTAAATTTTTTTAAGTATTTTTTTAATAAAAATGCTTCCTCATCTATTTTGTCAATTACTCAACAAATTAAGTCGCTAGTTTTTAATAAATATTCTGTTTGTTCCTTAATTCCTTTTTCTATTTCGGTCTTGGGCGAGAGGATAAAAGTGGGAGTGTCAATTAATCTGTAAACCTTGCCCTCGGTTTTGATTAAACTTTCCGTGTAGTTAATTAGTGGACTGGACTTTAGACTATTTTCTAGTTGAGAATATTTTTTGGTTATTTGGCGAAAAAGAATGGTTTTTCCTACTCCTTTTTGCCCAATAATAGTAATTAATTTGGGCACAATTTTAAACTGACTTTTTCCTTTGTTTTTCTGGTTATATTCTGTTTTTTATTAAATTAGTTTATTTTCTTTTTTAATTTAGAACTAGCCCGAAAACTTATTCTATTTTTTGGTTCAATTGTTAATAGTTCGCCAGTCTGGGGATTGCGGGCTTTTCTTGATAAGGAGCGACGAACTTTTAAACTGAAATAGCCTCATAGTAGTATATCTTCTTTTCTCAGTAAACTGACTGCTATTTCTTCTAGAAATTTGTTGATTATTTTTGGGACTTTTCTTTCTTCTCAGGATTTTATTACCTCATTCAAATTATTCCGTAGTTGCTTCTCGTCAATATTTAGCCGAACCTTGGAATCCTTTTTGGCTAGTTTTACTTGTCCGATAATTTTTCCTACCAATCTTTTCTCCTCCGCAATCCCTTTTTTTATTCTGGTTATCAGCAGGTCTTTGTTAGTAGTAGCATTTTCTTTGTTGCTCATATGTTTATTAATAACTATTTTTTTTAATAATTGTTAAATTTCTCAATTTCCCGCCAGAAAAATTCTTGCAGGCTATAAAATAAAAAGGCGTTTATTTCGGTTTCGCCTTCCTGCCGTGATGACCTTTGGGACAATGATGGTAAATAAGAAAAGCATGGGCAAATTCATGAGCAATTACCTCATTATTAGGGTTATCCCTTAATCTGATAGTGATTTCCTTAACTCGCGAATTAGCAATTTTCTCAGTTTCGGTTTGGATTTCTTGGTTCGGTTTCCTCATTTTTTCCCCTATTGCTTTTCGTTTGGCTTCTTCGGATACCAGTTTAAAGTCTATTTCCAATCTTTTTCGCTTCTTTTCTAAGTCTTGGATTTTTTTAACCTTGTCGTTAATATCGTTTATTTTGTCTTTTCATTTAGTACATCCTAAGTCTTCTTGACAATGATG